TTTAGATAATTTTTAAATACTGCATCACGTTCACGTACTCTATAGGTAGATGACGTGGTTCAATTATGCTTCATGTCTTTGTAACGAAACTTTAGGTTTTTAATTAATATAATATCTTAGTTCATGTGGCACGTAAACCAAGGCACATGTGTCTATCTTTCTAGGGAATCTTCAAATTACATGTATCTATTTTGCTTTGTAAGAGCATCATTACATGATATATTAATATTAGTTTAATATTAATTTTAATAATAATTTAGATTCATTAAAAAAAAATTTAAGTTTCGTATATTCAATGGAATTTTAAAAATAAAAAATATTTTTTTATATAAATAAAATGAAAAAAAAAAATCAAATTAGTATATGTACAATACATAAATTATGAGTATATATGTATATATACTCGATTTTGGAGTATTGGTTTAAGAGAGGATTTGGGAGTATTTGGATGGTGCAAATTCCTTCAAGATCAATGCATTGGTGTTTGCAGGGTTTGCAACAACAAGAACCTGGAGCAAAAGGCAAACAAGAAAATGATTTGTAAATTGATTTAAAAGGCAAACAAATCCTATCATCTTGCAGTTTGGAGTAGCATGCTTCTCCAATGCAGTAGAGCCTGAGACTTGTAAATTGAGACATTCTTGGTCATCACATCTTTCCTCTCCATCCCTTCTTTCCTCGGGAAACCACCAACCATAACAGCAACATTGACTCAGTACATCCCTTAACAGCATCAGCAATAAAAACCCTCGTATACCTTTAAACGGTTCTTCCTTTCCCAGTCACCTCCTTCTTCAAATAAAAAATCAATAGTATTAGATCAAAGACCATCAATTTATGATAATCTAATGTGGGTAACTGTCACTTACTTCTTTGCTTTATCAATGCTCTTTGATGTCATATCAAAATCCATAAAGACGAAAGCGAGTTGTAGTGTATAGAAAAACCAAGTCCATCTTCTGTCCCACGGCAACAGCCTTAGCGAGATGAGCTTCACGGATTTCACTTTCTCCCAAATTTTCTTCTGCATCGTCCATAATCCTAAACAAAAGGTTAAGGAAATGAGCATCTAAATATCAAATCAGAACAGATTCTACACAATTTTGAAACATGTATAACTCATTACATAGCTCGGATAATGCTTACAATTCCCCGAATCAGCAGCTCTAAAGCAAAAATATAACAAGCATCTAAGGATAACATTTATAATTATCATGACATAATTCTGAAAAAGGAAACTATGCTTACTTCCCATGGAGCTTCTTAAGCTCCTCATCGTTACTGGCACGCATAGAAGCAAGCAAGTTTTGATCCAAATCCAAAATCGAAGATGCAGTTAAGGTGTCGTACAAGGGAGTCATATCTACATTACAAGAATAACCAAAACAATTCAGGAACAGAGCAAGGGGAGAACGAATTTCACAGAATTTAGAGTGAGGAAGAAACGTAACAGTGGAATTGAGGACATGAGACTTGAGAGCTAGTTTCTCAATATCTGGCACATCGATTAATGGCGGATCTTGAAGAATCCGGTCGAATTTTCCGCGGCTGAAGAGCACAAGCTTGGGCACGTTTCTGATGGAAGAACACCGAACCACCGTTTGCAACCACGGACTCGAATCGCCGACGAAGGAAGAAGAGAGAGAAGAGAGAGGATAATCGCAACCAGAGAGAAACCAAAAATCGTGAATTTTTTTTGTTTCTAAATAGCTCAATCCAATTACAGGCTGCCATGTGTCCCAAAGAACCGTATAAAAAATATCAGCTCAGTGATCCGTCTCTCACCTGTTTTAAGCCCATAATTAATTTTTTAATTATTTACATGAAACCCAACAAGTATAACGATGTTCTCATGAGATTTCATGAGATTTTCATCGTCTTAATAAATAAAAAATTATTAAAATTAAAGTAAAAGGTAGAAAGAGAGTGTTTTTTGTTGAAATAGTAGAGTGTATTGAATTATAAAATTAATAAAATTTGAGTAAAAAGATGAAATAGTGGATAAAATTGGAGAGAGAATCTCATGAGGGTGAGACTTTAGAGAGTTTTATAGAGTAAATTTGTTTTAGTTGGGATGTGTTTAAATATAAAATTAATAAAAGTTGAGAAAAAGGATGAAAGAGAAAGTATAAAGTTGAATAAAAAGAAGAGAGAATGTGTTTTTAATAATTTTTTATTGGTTAAGATCATAGAAATCTCATGGATAATCATGGTCTAAGGTTGTACCGAATAAATTAATCTGAAATTTACTAGAGTCTGTTTAGTTTAGACTTACGTGTTTTTTCGTCTTAAATGGAAGACATAATTGAGCATATTTAGGACGTAATATTAATCCAAATTGAATAAGGACGTAATTATGTCAAAGTCAAACAAAGCATTAAAAAAATTGATGATTTGACTTAGAGAGTGGACCACTTCCCCATGATTTTCATTTAGATTTTACACCTAGAAGATATCTTTGGTTGATTCAGCGAATTATTAAATTTGGAACTATTAGGTTTTGTCCTTGTACGGGTGCAATCAGGAAAATAAAGTTTTCGG